TTTACTCTAAACCAAATAATGAACACTGAAAAGGCAACAGTATCACAGAAGTCACTTTAATTCTCTGCAAAATAAAGGTTTGAGAAGGGAAAAATCAATTGTGCTGTGGCCAGGAAAGACTGGAGTGAGAGGGACAAAAATGCCCATCTCAGGTTATAGGGGAGGAGGAAGATCTGTCCTTGAGGCTGATCTTTCTTCCATAGGTCCTTTCTAAGCTGATGAGTCACCTGGAGACAAGTAAACATGAAACTGAACAGAGTAAAGAAAACATCAAAAGACCAGTAGACAGTTTTGTGTAGTTTCTGCTAATACCAGAAATAAAATGCAAAACAGTGACAGTCATCATTGGCCTCTGATCAGCCTTCACACACTAGGATGCATTTTGGATAGGGCTTGAATGATCATCTCCCTCCTACAAATATCTAACTGTGGATCAGGAAATAAAAACTTACTTCTCTGTTATCAGGAAGGTAGATCCCTGAGAATCTTATCTACTTCTGAGGTTACACACTGTGGGTTTAAATGCTGCCCTTCCAAATGTTAACACATTTCTTACATTTGTTTCTTTTTTATGTCTTTTATTTATTTTTTATTTTATGTGTATGAGTGTATTGCCTGCATGTAGGTAAGTGCACCTGCACCATGCAATGCCCATGGAGGACAGAAGAGGCCATCAGATCTCCTAGAACTGGAGTTACAGACAGTTGTTAGTTGCCATGTGGGTGCTGGGATTCGAACCCGGGTCTTCTGTAAAAACAATGAGTTTTCTTAACTGCCAAGCTATCTCTCCAGCCCCTCTCATACTTCTTTTCAACTACTGCTGCCTACAGTGAGTGTTCACTAATTGTTCCATGGCTATAACTGAAGCAAGCGATATAAAGATATGAACTACAACAAACAACCGAAGAAAAATTCCTGGACACCAGATGACACTGAACACAAGAAGGTAAACACCCAATCTGACTTAAGCATGCAAGAATTGTATGTGAGTATACAAGCCTATACATGTTCCTTGACAGTAGTATTCTTGCCTTGATTTCAGTATCGGATCCAGTGACTATGGTTGTAGCAGGAAACATGAAACACAACCATTTCAGTCCCTAGGAGCCAAATAAAGCAGCTTCTCACTGTGATGCCCATGCTGTCTGCTGGAAATGATGCAGATATCAACCAACAGGGAACTATTGTTCAAGTTTAAATGTTGTATTTTCGTTCCAGGGTCATATATGAGCTGCCAAAACTCAGTGCAATACACAAATGTATCTATCTCAAAGTTCAGAAACCTTTCATGAATAGCCGAGCAATGTACTTCTACAAATGACTCTAAAGTAATTGATTTTTTCTCGGTGAAAGGAGATGAAAGATTTTTATGAAGTATATCAATTTTTTCTGAGATGGTAAAACTGTCTTGACCAAGGCTCATCATCTAGTAGCAATGGGTTTCCTAATAAAACTGTGAGAATGTATGTAAGAATCTGGTCTTT